AATTAAAAAAAAGAAAAAAACAAAATAAAAAATTTTATTCCAGAGGGGCCCTTTCTTGACCAAAAAAAAAATTTTTTTAAACCCCCCCCCCCCCCCCAAAAAAAAAAAAAAAAAAAAAAAAAAAAAAAAAAAAAAAAAAAAAAAAACTAGCTATGGACCTGGAGGTTTAAAGTTAGATACAATGATTAATGTATAACAATTCAGATTACAGAAGTGCAGTATCATTGTGGACATAATCACACAAAATTTTTGCATATTTATTTGGATTTTAAAAAATGTCAGCATTTACCTGGTAAGCATCTTTGAGCCTCTCTCTCTTCAGTTCACAGGTAGAAATCAACTCCTTCCATGAAGTTTCTATCTCTGACAACTTCTCTTGGATTGTTGTTGATGCAAAATGGCCTCCACTGATGAGTTTCTGACCCTCCTGTAATAAACATCAACAAATCTGATAAATTAAAGAGAGCAGATAATAAAAACCCTGCATAGATAAATAAATAAATAAATAAATAAATAAATAAATAAATTAACAGCAATTCTCTAAAAGAAATTAACAGAGACCCCAAAAGAAAAAAATATGTATAAGTCTTTTAAAAGAAATAATTGAAAAAATTGCACAACTGTTATGACTAAGGCTTGTTCTAATCAGAAATATGATGCCTACCTCTTGAACGGCTTCCACTCTCCTCAGGTTGGCTCCCAGTTCTGCCTCAAAAGCCTGGTGTTTCTGGGACTTTCCCTGCAGGTTGGAGGGGTCCCTGTAAGTCTCATCCAGAGCAATCTGCAACTTCTCTTGGAGCCATGTGTCAAGCTGAAAGAAGATGAGAGTGAGTATCAAATTTGAAAAAAAAAGAAAAAGATTATCTGATCATGCGGATTTGCAAAAGAAAGGCATTCAGCAAATTTGAAGCAAAAAATAAAAGCAAGTTATGCAAACAGACTGCAATCTAAAAAGTTACAAATCGTTTCTATTAGTAGCTATCAAGCTGTATTCTAAATAAACATTTAAGTCACAAATAGTACCTACTACTGGCCCTCATGGATGTTTTATCCTAAAAGTTCAATAGGATAGAAGCTTATGGTAACCTTAAACACCTGTCATATTAAATATCACAGAATATCTGATCTGAATGATTCTAAGTACCTCATACAGCCTCCTGAGGAAGTGTTGGTATTTCATGGAGTCCTCTAACATGTGTTTTCTAGCCACCACTAAAGTCTTCATCTGGCCTCTACGCTGGACAATGCTCTCACATCTTGCAGATATCTAACAATTCACAATAATACATAATTAATACTCATGCACATAGGTTTTATATTGAATATTGTAGTATAGTTATTCAAATTAGTTGAGAGTTCAAAGCAACCATTTTAGTGTTCTTTAACATACATTTCATCAAGGTCACTGTTTCATCATGATATTGTTTGTGACTGGTAATATTGAAAATATATTATTCAAAATATAATGTTGCATGAATAATAAATTAAAACTAATAGCTGTAAACAATCAAATACAAATCCCACTGCATCAGTTCTGTCAATTAACAAATTCATCACAGGATTCTGAACATTACCTGTCCAGATGTGTAATGCCTCTGGTTTATGAGCTCCTTTGCAAATTCTTCCAAAGCATCGATCTTGTCTTCCTGGGCCTGAAGTGTCTTCTCAAACCCACTGTGCTTCTTCAGCAAGGCTTCTACTCCAGACAGAGTGTCCTAAAATCAACAAGTATTTCAACTGAAAAAATGTTCTAAGCACACTAAAATCCTATGCAATTTTTTATTTGAGTGTCCATCTCAATATTATCTTTCAGTTCATTTTTATAGAAATGTATCCCACTATGTTTGTCAGATGTTTTAACATAGGAAGCTTTTGAAGCACCTGATTATTACAAATATAAATGTTAAATAAATTGACAAAAATACTTACACCAAGATCCTCGTTGGAGAGGAATGCTTCTTTGCTAGTCAACCAAATGTCTGCTTGTTCTGCATATTCATTGAACACCTGATAGTAAAAAAAAAATGTTCTTCAATTTTTGCACAAAATCACCCAGTGTGTGTGACCATGGCATTTTGTTATCACATTCTCAAGCAACCATTCATCCTTAGACTCAAAATAAATAGTCATTTGAGTCACTTCAGAGAGACATACAATTTCTGCACTATTTGTATAATTTTGACTTGACACATTATTATTGCTGTATTATTCTTAAGTACCTTTCAATACAGAAAGAAATCAACAGTAACAAAAGAGTTAGGCCCCATTTAGAATGGATAATCTGAGTACTTACTGATCCACCGACTAAATATGGCTGACCATGGTTCAAAAGCAATGCCACCGATTCCTGATGGTCTCCCTGACTCTACACGCACCTTTAAACAGATTAAATCTCTGCTCCAAAGTTTAATTGCTAGGCCCCTGCAGCGATGGTGTGTGTGGAGGTGGGGAGACCATCAGGAATCAGCTGTATCACTTTTGAACTGTCATCGGCCATATTTAGTGGGCGGATCAGTTAGTACTTGGATCATCCATTCTGAATGAGGCCTTATATATAATAGTTATGCAAATATTTCACAAATGTGTAAGCAGAAGAAGGAGAAGGAGGAGGGGAAGGAGGTGGAGGAGGTGGCACCCAACCTACCTGCAAATCATAACACTGTGACAGTTCCACTTTCCTATGTTCCCAAGTGGTGGTCAGTTCGGTGTAAGTGACCTGTGCATTGTCCACCAAAGCCTGGATTTCCTCAGCTGCATAGTGGTCCCTGGACATCAGGTCCTCCCCCTGGGTCTTCAGCTGCTGGAAGGCTGGACCACGTCCATCTATTTCTGCCTGGAAACAGCACAGGATAACATGCAGATACTCTTTACTACAATAATATACTATTATTAAGGTGGTAAAAAATTGATAATAATTGGGCAGGCAGAGAACAATTTTAAAGAGGGGGAGGATTCTGTTTCTGAAAATGTGAACCTTTCTTTCTCCTTGGTCATGTTCATAGAAATAATCAATTAACAGACAATAGAGGATTTGAAATATTAAAAGGTGTAAATATCATCTCAGCAAGATGGCTGTCTGTTCATTTCCCTCAATTCAAAAGTGACTACTCGTACCTTAAATTCCTGGTGTCTGTGCACCATCTGCTCTGCCCCTTGGACGTCCTTGGCCAGCTCACTAGCCGTCATCCTGATCTCCATGTCTGTCTGCCATGTCACCAACTCACGGAAGTCATTCTTCAGTTTCTGAAGCTGGTAGGAATCATGGAGTTTGGATTTCCTAGAATTTCATAAATTTAGAATTTAAATTTAATTTAAAGTCAGACTAAAACTAATCCAGCAGTGTACACTTAGAGACGTGTGTGTGTGTGTGTGTGTGTGTGTGTGTGTGTGTGTGTGTGTGTGTGTGTGTGTGTGTGTGTGTGTGTGTGTGTGTGTGTGTGAGATTGGATTAGTATTTCTTTGCCCTTGTGCGTTATTAAAAGCTTTTAAAAAGATCAATAAAACTAGACATGATTTGATCGTTTAATTATTGTTTAANATGTGTGTGTGTGTGTGTGTGTGTGTGTGTGTGTGTGTGTGTGTGTGTGTGTGTGTGTGTGTGTGTGTGTGTGTGTGTGTGTGTGTGATTGATTTGGCTAAGAAACATGTAAAACATGTATTTTTCTCCAAATCCACCACAGATTAACTTCCAAATTTTCAACTGGCTTCAATTTTTCAGCAATTGGACAAAAAAAAAATTTATCTTTAAGAGAACACAAAAGAAGTATAGTGACTATGTATAGCCCATATACCTGGCATCAGAGAGGTCCTCCAACCTCTCCCAGTTGTCCAGTACCACCTGGTGCTTGTCATTAATGGTGCCTAGCTGGTCTGGGTACTTCCTGGACAAGTGGTGACCAAGGGATTCCAATTTCTAGGAAATCAAAACAAATTCCCTTGACGATAATTGAGAACATAAGAGGTGAATTTTGCATGAAGTAATATAACAATGATAATCTTTTTATTATATACATGTATAGTTACCATAACTGACTTATAGATTAATAAGAAAAACATAATTTTCAATAGCTTAAGATGTCCTTTATCTTTTTTCATTTTAGATATTAGATATAACTAAACAGTGAATATGTGTAAATATTACAATCCATGATTACATATATTAAAAAAATCACAGAAACTTTAACCACATTTCATTCAAAAGCAAACCTGACATAAAAGTGGATTTTTACCTCTATTTGAGACTGCAACACAGTCATGTCTCTTTCCAGTTCATCATGTCTTCTCTGTAAAGCCTGAACTGAGGGGAGATCTTTGCCAAGGTCCTCTGTGGAGAATGCTAGAGCCTGGAAAATACACAAAATAAACATGTAAAACTACTACCTAGAATATCTATACTGCTGCTAAACAAAATGTGTTATTGTTCAATCTTAAGAGCTGTGAAAGTTTTAAATTTTATTTGGCCGACTAAATTGTTACCATATCATGCTCTAAAAACTAAAGCTGAACTTTTCCATATATTCTGTCTATAATCTTGTCCCCATAACTTTTCATATATCTTGCCAAAAATATCATCCCGTACCTTTTCATACATCATGCCAAAAATCTCATCCCCATACCTTTTCATATATCCTGTCTATAATCTCGTCCCCATCTCTGTTGAAAGCATGGACCTCTAAAGCTGCTGCAAGCTTCTCTTTGTGTTCAGCCAATGCTCCCTGCAAACCCTGCCACCTAAAAGGGATTAACACAGATAATAATAATAAAAATAATTATTATTATCATTTATTTATTTATTTATTTACTTAAAATCACAATGCCTGAATTTAGATAAATAAACAAAGGCAGACATCAGTCTTCAAATTGAACTTGAAAATTTCTGTGCAAACTTACTTTTCCAGAAGTGCTTGTTTCTTGTCCTGAATTTGTTTGACATCGGTTCTGCCTTGTTTGATGATCTTATTGCCAAGTTCTTGGATTGCCTTGATTCTCTGCTCATCCACTGTGACAGCCTGTATTGTAATAATAACTCTATAAAGATTTATTTAGCATAATTCTTTCCAAAGTATTAATCAAATCAGTGGAAAAAATAAGATCATTTTTGCTGTAGTCTATATATTCAAGAGATATCTCTACTTCTTTTGTCATTATTATAACACTATTCTGCAATGCAAAGAAGCTAACACTGAGAACACTGAGTATCAATTTGCATTATGCCCTTTTTACATTGAGCAGTAGTTTTCTGTACCCCCACCAACTTCACTGGTTCTGACATTTTACTACGTTACTTGACTCCCTTTCACAAGTGCCAGTGTACCAATCTAAAGTAATCTGGTTAACTGACCATGCCCAGCACAGAGGCTCCTTTGAGGGGAGTCTATCACATAACAGCCAGGCTATTTTAATTAAAAACTTAAGGCCAGTGATAGTAAAAGGACCAAAGTNGTTTTTGTGACAAAAAATTGACTTTGTATGCATCTTTAAAAGTTGTCAGTCTCACAGAGTGGAGCATAAAAAACACTAAACTTGTTGATGATAGAAGTGCCTTTGATCCCATCTAATTATTTTTTCCATGATAAAATGTATTTATTTTGACATACCGCTCCAGCATCATTGACTTTCCTCTGCAGTTCTAGGCAGTGTTCATAGTCCTTTCCAGTGTCTCCAGCAGTGATTAACATGGACTGAAATAATCAACACACCAATCCTCTGAATCCACCAATTCAGTCAATGAAAAAATACTGTAATTTGATTGGTTAAATAATACCCTATGACCTCCTGGGATATTAACCTGTATTGTATAAGCAAGAGTGGGGTACGTAGCCAGCATTGTGTAAGCTTTAATCAGAAAAAAAATCTAATTAATCAAAATTAGAATTTAAAAAATAAATGATCGTAAATCAAAATACACTGTGCAGTATCAATAAGTCACAGCGATGCATGTACTCTCCATGTATTCAAACCTACCTTTTCACGGATCCAAGCTTCCACTGTGTCCCCCTCCTCAGTAAAGGCAAGGATATCTTTGGCTTCCTCCAGTTCCTTAGCTGTGTTAGCCGAGGCCTCCAACAGGTCATTCCAGTGCACCAGAACTATTTTAGATCTTTGTTCTATCTCTGGACTGGCTTCATGGCCTGACTTGATCATAGCATCTCCTTGCTGGAAGATAAAGTGGAGACATTTTTTCATTTTTCCTCATTGGTGTCATTGTTGATGTTGCTGGTATTATCATTATTATTAATGTCATCATCAGCATAAATTCATTTTTCTCTAAAAAATGGAAATTTTTTAAATAAAAGTTTCTGGTCACATACAGTTGATCTGATAATATCAATTTTTCAATTAAGATCACTTCAGATTAAAAGAAAAATTGATCATTATCTCTCTATATTTTAGCTTGCATTGATGGTAGCTCTTCTAGATTCCACACGTGTGTGTACAAGCATAATCATAACTACTTGCTAAATTCAATGTAATATATCTACCCCTGAAATCAAAGTGAATTTGACACTTAAAATGGGACGTTTGGTTCAATCGAGAAAAAAACATTTTTGAGAACAACCAACCTCATTCAGAACAGCATACTCACTGGTTCGCAGATCAAATAAGGTGACCCACTTATTTCAGATTTTAAGTGGCCAAAAATGAAATCAACCTACATTTGTCATTTGGTCTCACCAGTGAACTTCATACTACTTGAGATGGGGAAGACACAAATACCTGTTTGATCAACTTGATCCTTTCAGCATTGGCTATGATTTCTGCCTCAAATGCCTGGTGTTTCTGGAGTTTCTTCACCTTGTCCTGTAGGTCTGTTACTTTGCTGAGGCTAGCATCAGATGTGATCTTTATTTTCTCCTCTATCCAGGCCTCTACCTGATAGTGATAAGAAACAACCTCTTAAAAGTGAAGTTACTGGCATGTTTAACTATGGGGACTTGACCCTTGTTTTTTATGTGTGTGAAGCTACAAGTATGTGTATCTGTGCACGTGCATGCATGTGCATTAGGATGCATGTTGACCTGCAAATATATGTACATGGGTATAGATCCTACCTCTAGGACATCCCTGTTGAAACGTGTGTAAGCCAAAGCATCCTCCAGTCTCTGCCTGCGATCACTACTCAGCTCCTTGATATAGCTTCGCCTAAAATGGACCGAAAACAGAAGCAATTACAATTATACTTGTGAATCCTAATCCTGGAGAAATCTGTATAGTAATACGTCTATCAGTAATCCATTATCTGACCTGTTAACAAAACAATTCTGAGCAATAAATTGTCAGCAATAAATAAACAAATCAACAGATTAAAAAGCAGTTTCCAAACACTAATGGTCCTATTATAAAACATTATTTTTTTCTTTTTTTTAACAGTAAGGACACTAACTTGACTTTGATGACCTCCAAGGTAGCCATAATATTGTCCATATCAAAGTGGCCGGAATCCACCAGTCCTTGTCCAAATGCACAGACTGCATTTACCTGTATAGGAAAAAAAATGAAAATTAGTTGTTTAAAAAGAGGTGGGTTTTCTTTAAAATAGATCATTTATGCCAGCAAAGGATTAAATAAAAATGATTCAATTATGAAGGATGGCGAGCAAAATGAGAAATTGTCACATACCAACTGAATGATAAAGAATTGTACAAAAAGATCATTCAAAATAAGGAGAAACATCCTCATTTATATACATTTTATATTTTTATTATTAATTATTTTTGTAACATTGAAGAAAGCTTCACAGATCTAGATGTTACAAAAGAGGAAATCACAAAACAACATAATATAAATAGCATTAGTTGATCTAATAAGTCTACAGCAGAATTGTCTAAACAGGTAAACTCACTTTTTCATCTTGTTGCAGGAGTATTTTCTCAAAAGCTTCATGCTTCTTCAGCATGTTCTCCACCTGTTCCACAGCTGATCCTATATCTCTGCTAGACAGATAAACCTGCAATGAAAATATATTCACTACCATCATCACCATCATTACCATCACCCTTCCCCTTTTCTCACTCCTTAATATCATCATATTATTAACAAAACATTTAGGTTAAAACATTTTTTTCCTGAATCACTCACCTCCTGGGAGTTGCTGGTTGTTTCTATCTGGTTGGTGTCTCTGTAGAAGACTTGGCTGTCATACAGCTGGTCTAGGTAAACCTTCCTCTCCTGCCAGGCGGAGTGGAGCCGCTCTTTTTCCTCAACCACCTGACTTACACGGTCCACAATCTACAAGGATAGGTAAGTAAAATAAAAACAAAAACAAACTAATCAACAATTAAAATTCAAAATCAAAATAGTGAGAAGAAATTAGATAGAAGTAAATATGGCAACTTTCCGTTACGTAAGACGATAGGATACGAGGCAGCAATGAGGTGTCTTCCTTTAAACCCTGGGGTGGCAAGATGTCAGTCTCCCTTGCAATTGGCCATGATAGAAGAACAGCTACTGATAACAGTATAAGGAATAGCAAAAAGCATGTGGCATTTAGTGAAATAACACTAAATGTATCTTGAGTACAATATAATGCAGAACAAGAGACTTGATCCCTGAATATAAGATAATTACTTCAAATGCATATATACATATAAAATTATATATAATTTAGTAATGGGTAACTTTACAAGTACTGACACCTCACTCACACATTTTTGGCTCAAAAATTATCGTTGATGGTTTTGACGTTTATCCACTTGTCCTTTTTAACAGCATTGTCTATTTATAGCCATAAAGTAGCAACATTTTTGACTGAAAATCTACATGTTTCCAAGCACTGGTCCTAACACATTATTATGCTATGGGGAGTTTTACTCCTTTTCACAAGCCACAATATACCTATCATATGTAATCTGTATGGATTACTGGCTGTGTCAGGTGCCAGGGCTCCATTTAGGTGACACACTAACATAATAGAGAGGTTTCTAAATTGCCAATCTCTCAAATTGGAATGGCACAGAATACCCCTCGACATGAAAAGGGACAAACATAAACAAAAATCACAGCAATATATTTCAAAATGAATATTTCTACTAGCCTCTGCCTTGGCATGGTGATCAGCGTTTATCATTATCTTCCCAGCTTCCAGGATGGACTCGAACATGTCCTCTCTGGTATCAATCTCTGCCTTGATCTGACTGTGGCGTGTACGTAATATCTCCACACTCTGGATGTCCCTGACTGGCTCCTCCATCACCATCTCAGTCTGAACCTGGGCAGCCCATGTCACCAGATCTCGGACCTCAAAGAGAAAAGGGGAAAAACTCCATCACAAATGACCATAAACATTCACACTATCATCCATATCAAGAAAGCAAGCAACATAGGATATTGGTTGTTTGAAATTTGGCCACTTCTAACAGACAACAACAGAGAGTTAGTCTCAAGTTGTGGTTCAAACCTAAATAGCTTCAATTCACAATAACACTCATCTCTCTTAAGAGCATTGACTAGAATTTGTACAATGCACATGTACTCTGGTATAATATGTTACTTACTCGCCATAAAACAGTGTTCGTTTCACATGCCAAACTTTGATAAGCCACAGATACCTTCATTTCCAAGAGCCTCCATTGAAGACAGTTGGAGCAAAGACAAAATTCATTCAGATATCAAACTTACTGATGCAATAAACTTATGCAAATCATTAGCAGACTGTAGGTCTTCCTTTCTCTGTGCTGCCCGGTCCTGCAGTATGCCCCAGTTTTCTACTACCATTGCCTGGTGCTGTTCTATGTTCTCAGCATTTTCTCCAGGAAATTGTTCTTGAAGCTGGGCAGAGTCATCCAGTAGGACTTGGAGCTGTAATTGAAAGCACATTTTTTAGTGTTTTGTTGTTACATCTTTGAATTGAAAAAAAATGCTGATTAATTAATCCATGATGGATATATATTTCTGGTTGTTTTTTCTCATGTTCTACAAATTGCAGTTTTTTTGCAAATCATTTTGCAAGCCACTTTCTCATTTATTCTTAGACAACATTCCAGGCACACAGATTTAATCCCACTTAATTTACACTGGTTCTGGCACTTCTTTAGTCTCACACACTGCCTTCAGATTCTCCTTTGCTACTAAAAATACAGAATTTGACAATAAATGTATATGAATGTCATCAGACTATGAGGCTGCCTAAAAGGCATTCATTGTTGTAAACTTTTCAGCTGATGACGACAATAATTCTTTGGCCAATACAAGTCAGATGTGGTTGTATCTAGACCCACAGTTTTACACTACCGTAGTAGTCAAACTTCACCAAGCTTTGTCAAACTTACCATCTGTTGTAAGCTCTTAGTCAAAATTGATGGTTATATTTTGACTTTCAAATACTTTGCCCCATATATTATAAACACTCATAATAAGCTTTTCAGTAAGTTTTTTAGACCATTACAACTTAAAATGTCCAACAGATATGAAAACCAAGGAGAAATTTATTATGGCTAAGGGGTATTTTACACCTGTTGCTGAAAAAAGATTATGTCTTTGCCCTAGAAAAACTTGTCTTTGATAGTTTAACAAAGGAGTAATATTATAAAATGAAAAAAATACAAATATACATTTAAAGACAAAAAAGTCAAATATAATGACATATTCATGTACAATTGGTGTCAAATTCAAATTATATAAAGGAATTTATATTTATTAAATAAATAAATGAATAATTTTATTCAATATATCAACATGACAAAAAATGTAGTTTCTCATTTCTTTCTGGAATTCACATCAACAGAAATTAAAATGCTTTTCACTGCTATAGGGTACAGTGAAAATAGAAAAGGAAAAAAAAACGTTGTTGCTCAAGGCAATGTTTAAACATTTGCATGTAATTGTTGTTCTCTTCACAAGAAAGGTCGTGTACTCGAAAAGGTCGTGTACGGATCACTGGGATTCGTGTTTTGTATTTTTCCACAGTCAGACCTACTTACATGTTGAAAGTGCAAGTTGACTTGTCTTCACTTTTGTAGCTGACTGGCTTAACTTGGGCAAAATATTTCTAATTACTTGTAAGTATGAACAAATATATATTTTTTAGTATAAATACTTAGCTCAAAATTTTCTCTTACTACTGTGAGTAACTGTTACTACAAGTGTTATCTAGTGGTGCAGCGTAATATTAATTCCAAAAATGAATGTGAATATGTCTGGATCTATTTTTGCATGCAAACCTGTTGCAGTGGATATCGATGTGTATGAGAGAGAGAGAGAGAGAGAGAGAGAGAGAGAGAGAGAGAGAGAGAGAGATTCAACTGGTAATTTAGTCAATTGCTTATTTATATGTTCTTAATGATATCACTTGATGAATGGTATTATGTAACTTTCATAAGGTTCAGATATGAATTATAAATTTCCACCCAAGTTAAGATCAATCTTCTTATCCAATTTACATTTTCAGTAGAAGAAATAATTATATGGTACGTTGTATAGGTACAAGATCTAGGCACAGATACAAAGAGTGGCAATACAAAAAATCAATTATGGTTCCTTAATAATAGCATATTAATAGCATTGTTCTGCAGAGTAAACCCAAAATATACAGGTCTCACTTATCTCCTATTCATATATAGCATAGACAATGACCTGCACTTATGGTGTAAATGAAAAACTAATGATATTTTATTTTTACATCACAGTATCACTTCCTATCTGATTTGATTATTATGTGACTGCTTATGGAACTTGATAATAAGGGGGAAATTAAATGACATTCTCAACAATGAGCTTTGTTCAAAGACCATGTAAATAAACATTTTTGAAGTCACCTTTTCTTTACACTACTTAAACTAAATAATTAGTTACATGCATCAATGCATGTTTCTAAAATTGACTTTAAATTTACATGGCTAGGCTGATTTGGGTATTCATTTAATCAATCAGGGTATTTTTTAAAACAAGAATTAACTGAATTTCTAGAAAAGTCATGTGTAACTCAACTTTGTTTTGGAGGGAAAGAAGAGCAGGATCTGGCACACTCTTTTTTAGCAACTAGACTACAATAAGATGATTTCAATGAGAAGGCTTGCTCACTCTCTCTCTCTCTCTCTCTCTCTCTCTCTCTCAAGCACACACACACACACACACCCACACACACACAAAGAAAAAAATTTACACAAGAGTAAAACATAAATTCTAATATTTCACTGACCACAACTGCAAATGCTTTGTAAGTGTGGACATTCTGCATCCTTAATTGTTACCTGAGCTTCCAATGCAACCAGTTCTGTCTCAAAAGCTTCATGTTTTCTCTGCAATGCTTGAACTCCATTAATATCTCTGCCCAAGTCATCAGGGATAGACACAAATTTCTCCTAAAATATGCAGATATAGGAGTGCAAATGAATAACACATATAAAGATAATTTATTATAAAGGGCCACCCTGATTGTTTACAACAAATTCAATTAGGGCCCATTCCTAATACAACTATCAGTCTATGTAGAACGATCCAACTTTGCAGGGACTCTAGTCGAATGCAATTAGACTACCAGATAACATGCCTCCTCTTGGCACCGAGTACAATTCAGAAAAGCTGGTGATTATACGAGTATGCTGGAAACACAAGGACGTTATTTTTGGGTGGACGATAGATTAATTTGGTTTATGAATTGGCATGTCAGCTTTATTTTATCCGTATAAGAAACTAGTAGAAGTGTTTTATATGTGTTACTGGAAATCCACACTAGCTTTATATGTATCTTTCAAAAATTAAAAATCTTATGGACCGACCTTTCTCAGATTGATGTTGATATAAATGACCACTAAGTGAACCCATCAAAGATGCCTCAGAAAGATCAGGGAAGCCACAAAGAAATTATATTTAATGGATGTCTATAATAAAGCAATCATGTGACTATTGCTCTGAGGAAAGCCACTGGCCTTGAAAGCAGCAAAGAAACTTTGGGGGAAGATTTTCACTGCTTGGTCAGAGAGGGGCTAACTTACAATCAATCACACTTTGTTGATGATCCATACATTAATTAATAATGAGAGCCTAAGCTGCTTTGCAGGGTGTCTGTGCTCACCGAGTGATTTCTTAGTATATTTTAACTTTTCATTGCTTGTTTTAAAACACAAATAAGCCTCCTCGGTTCATTTATTAGCTCAGCAAAATCACATGCAGGCTTCAAAATGCCAATCATCAATCTCATGACCCACAGGTGCTAGCATTTTATCCGTGTTCTGTTTCTGTTTCAACAGCTCTCAATAAAAGCATTACATGGATGTGGTATATAGTTTTGCTTTAGAAAATTATACTAGAATAAAACTGAAACCTAATATCTTATCTTATCTGGCAACTGTTTACTTTTCAATTTCGATAGGCTAAATAAATATATATAAATACATGGCATCATTTATATACATCCATTAATAAAATATTTACAAAGTGTAATTGTATTAGAAAAAAAAACTGTTTAAATATGTGGCACCACATCAACTTTAAGGGTAATATCTGTATATATCAAGACAATCCAATTTTCCCTTTTTATGTTACATGAGAAGACATAACTTCTGTAGGACAATAGACTACATCTTTTTATTTTTCATGTTAACTGTTTTGCATTTGAAGGTTATAGGTTAAGTTGAAGTGAAAACTTAGGATCTTCAATTTGTGCTACACTGTAGTGTGAAAACTTAAAATATTTTCTACACATCTCCCACATGTCACAAAATTTTGCCAATGACTGAGATTTATTCAGTGAAAAACCTGCCGACACATCATTACATTACATCTCCTGATCAACTGACTTTATCAAGACTTCAATAGCACAGTTTCAAGCATTCCAAGTTTTACCTTATCTTACTGGCTTCCACTCTAAGTCCATATACATGTCAGAAATCTCTGTAGATAGTGAGATCATGTGTCTGAGAGCAGAGAAAAAACATGTAAAACTCAGATTCAACTTGGGGCTGGTGAAGGAAAAATGTAAGTATTTGCCTTCAAAATCATGGTAATTTACTGAGGATAATTTGCCGGGGTTTCATCAAGTCACTGATGTTTGCCACAATCAACTCTGAAAAGTGAAGTCATTCTGGGGTACCTGTATTCTAGAGAGAGCTTCCTCCACATCTCGATGAAATCTGTGTATTTTCCCCGCAGCTTGAAGCTTCTCATTGCGCTCAGCAACCTGCTGAAGCAAGGCCTGCCATGAGGTGCTAAGGTAAAGATAATTAACACTAGTGTTCATATTTATGGAAAGGTGAGCAAAGCAATGCTCGAAAGCAATAACAAGTACAATGAATACAGTTATTGAAACAATCTCCTCCTCCTCCTCCACCCACAATATTTATGATGAAAATAGAGAAAAAGATGTATATTCCAATAATTTTTCTAAGAAATGTGTATAACCTATATTGTACAAAAAGGGACATGGTATCCTGTGATACGCAATAAATCTTATGTTTCCATGACTTTTTAAAAGCTTATAAAGAACATGACAGATTTTTTCTAGGATAGTAAAAGAGATCAACAGTAATATCTAAAACATTCCAAAATGAAAGTAATGCTTTGATCTGGTACCATTTGCTGCAACATATTTCTGGTTTTTTAAATAGTTTCATAAATAACATAATCCTGTGAATGTTGATAAGGAATCGAACTGTTCACAGAAAATTAAGATATTTCAGCACACTGATATGTCAATCTTTTTTTATGATACTGACATCTCAAATTGAAAGTAACTGGTACATTTCAAAAACCAGGCAACTGATCTCAATCCTCAGGTGTTTTGAGCCCCATTCTAAGAGTTCCTAAATCAGAAATAAATATCTAGATTGTAGGATGAATGCAATTATCAGCTGCCTCCAGCATCTAATAGATAATCTCTGTTATTGGGAATTGTGAGTGAGAGATACAAGCTGCCTAGGATCAATAACTACATGCTCTATTCCAGACTCCTGCATGCCTCAAGTTTAGCGTAGGCATAATGCTTAAACTTTCATCAAACTCCAATTTGAGGAAAATGATGAAATATGTTTAATTTCCTCAGCCAAAATCAATCACCTTTAAGCCATTGTTGAATTGGTTTTACATATTAAAACGTGAACTACCATTATACCTGAGTTGTTCTTGCTGCTCCTTGACTTCAGACTTATATTGACTATCACTAGCAAGCACTGCTTCAGATAGCTTTTTACATTGCTCGTAGCGTTTGGATCTGGTGTCCACCCCCAGACAGAACTCATCAAACTTCTTTCTCAGCAGCTGAAAAGTGGAAAAACACCCTTAAATACAGGATTGATTTACAGGTAATTTTTAAAATAAAAACGATATATATAATTTCATATATATATATATATATATATATATATATATATATATGCTTTGTTTTTATCAAACTGAAGGGAGTTTTGTAACTCTTTAGTGTTATGTGATTCTAAGAGACTACAATATTTAATTTATTAGTTGTAAAAGAAAAAACATGAGATCACATTATCTACAGGGGCAGATTGAGGCCGTCTTCTGGGTCTTCTGGAAGACGGTCAGATTTTCAAGTTTACATTGACGGGTATCTAATTTTTTCTGTCAGAAGACAGTCAAAAATAGGGGATGGATCAACAAAGAAAATTTGGAAGACGGTCAGAAAATAGCTCTGGATCTGCCCCTGATCTATGTCTACATATCCAGCAAAACTACTGATCTTTTCCAATTCAGACCTTAAATTCAATGAAACCCCTCACGTAAAAGTACCTGATGTCAATATTTCCTTCTAAAATGTACAGAAAGACAGTGGTCTAGATGACTGGCCAGTAATTTAGAAGCAAATCATCTAAAGCAATTATACTGCTTCACAACCACTTAGTAGTTCAATAAGGAAAGTGCACTTTAATCAGTATTTCATTATGAGTTTCCAAAGCTAATATCTGGAAATATAGGATGTGGAAATGTTGTAATTCGTCTGGTTTTAGTGTTAACCACTTTCTAAAGATGAAGCTCTCATATGTTGGTGTTTCACAGGATGGACTTGCTGTAAGAAGATGCAGTGTCTTTCTGTGAATGGCCATAGTTGGGAGAAATGCCACACATTGAAGAATCCCTAAGGTGGATTGATGGGGGATAGGGTATTACATGTGACTTAAATTTGGGTTTGCAAGTGGTCTTCACAAATGATTTTTTTTTTTTTGGCAGGTTTCCATATGGCTTAGAAAATGACTTCATAATTCAGGTATTGCACATGTGAAAGAGGGTTGGACATTTGCCTTGTTTCAATTGCAGTGTTACAGATCAAAGTACCTGTAAGTGTTCAAAATCATGACCAAAGTCCTCTGAAGCAGCTACATGCATCTGGTCAGCTATCCATTCTCCTAGTTCAGTCACTTCTCTAAAGTACACATGGGCAGCTTTGGAATCCTCCAGTTTCTGTTGTCTGCTGGCAGCCTGCTTCTGTAGACTAGACAGCTGCTGTTGAACTTGTTCCTAGTAATGAAAACCAAGTTAAATGATGCATTAATCATATCTATGTCACCTACCTCATCTTTCTTTGTTCTAATATTTACACTACTCTGTCTTCCGTCCATAATAATTTATTGCACAACAGTACAGATTCACCATGTTTTGCCTGTCACTTTCTAAAACAACATTCCCAGCAAAACACTCACCCCTGTTTGTTTCTGATTCCAAGATTTCATGATTTTTTTTCTGACTGGTACATATGCGATTTTTATTCTCACAATTCATAAACATGTGCCTGTTGTACACAAGAAATATTCATTTTGATCATCAGTGCATGAAGATTTTTTATGGACACTATAAGAGAATATCTGTACCTGTCTCTTGGCAATGAGCGTGCTGTCCTTTACTCCAGCCTCCATCAACTTCTGGGCCTCTTTCTGCAGATCTGCCACAATGCCATTATAAGTATCCAGGTCAACTTTCAATGCCTGAAATAATAGTTTGTTATTTTTATCATTAATGGACTTAAACAATTTATAGATAGTTTATTGAAGAATGATTTAAGAGACAGAAAACAATGTTTTTTTTAATAAGAATGATCACATTTCTAGTCAAAAAGATAAGATGACTGCATGTTGCCATGCATGAGATACTGCTAACTAGGTGAAGACAAACCTGAGACCTAATAAATGAGGATCATTATGACTCACAAAACCAGATTTAAAGAAAATATTACCAGTATGCAAAAACTTAAATGTATAATTATGTGTCAATTATGAAAAGTTGTTCATTATTACATTAAAACTTGGTGCCATTATACACAACAATGTATATGAGTTCAATAGTAATTTTTAAAAAGTTCGATATTATAAATAATGATATTTGCTGATGTATACCTTGTGTTTTGTAAGCAGCTTATCAGCAGATGGTTCATCCTTCCCATAGTCCTTACTGGCTAGAAACCCAGATTTCTCTGATATCCAAGACTCGACTTCTGCAGCTTCTGAGAAGAACTGTAATATAAATCACATAATTTTCATAAGTTAGAAAACTTCCATTTTCCCTAAATTTACAAACCACTCTGGTCTAAACAACTCCCTACACACTCTATTAAGCAGAAGGGGGGATCAAAATTTGATCTAGTTTATATGCCATTCTTTAATTTGGGTCAACTAATCGGATAAAAAGGTCTGCTTTTTCATAAAAAGCATACAACGGAAGGGTTGACAATTCATTTGTATAAATATATTTGTTTAAAAATATTTTGATGTTAAGAGAACAACATACACATGTAGAAGGTTGCACATGCAGTACAAGTCAAAATTGAAATTTTATTTTCTTTTTTAACTTTTACATTTTCAAGTGACAATTCCAGTTGTAATGCTTATTTTTATTTAAAATTCTAATTAACATAACCATAAATAAGTTATAAGAAAATTATATAATTTTGTAAGACGGATTTCCATGGGCAATATATTGTGCTGAAAAACTCACATGTTGGCATTGTAAAGACAATTCCAATTGTTTCTTCCTGCTCTTGGCCTTTTTTAGCAACTTCTTCCAAGCAGTGCTGAGTTCATTACTCCTATCCTGGACCTGTGGGCTGGAGAAATGACCAGCGTCCATCATCTGCTGACCACGGGATAGCACTTTCTCCTCAATAGGCTGATGACCTTGTAGTTCCAATAGCAAGTCCTGTGATAAGGAAAATGACAAATAACCTCATCTGTTAATTGATTTTTTCATGTAACAATAATGATAAGAAGAGCTGTAGAAAAAGACCTTCGTTCTAAATAAATGATTAACACTGTAAAATTGAAAACCCTTCCAAACCACATTATCACCCTAAATAAAAACATTCTTATTCTGTTTTATACTATTTCTAACATTCTGTATGCAGTCAATCCATATTATAAAATATAATGTTCCTCTTATGCAAAACTGTGCCACGGAAATTTTAAAATTATGATTGAAACTGTATATGTCCATATATCAATTACCTACCTGATGTTTCTTACTAAGATTCTGTGCATCAGTCAGGCTGTGGCCATAGTCAGTAGAGGTGGCAGCTGGCATGTGTTCCAGCACCCACTGCAGCTCATCATCTACATCAAAACTGAACTGATGCCACATCAGGGACTGGTGTAACTTCTCCTTTCGTCTGGACATGGGGTCTTTAAGCTCTTCAAACCTGAATATACAGTGAGAAGATATTTATAGATTTATGCTGTTTTTTTTTTCTCTGTCAATTCAAAAACTTCAAAATATTACATAATTGTCAAACACATCAGACAATATTTACTTTTCTCCTTATATAACGAATAAAAAAAAATGAAAGGGCTTACCTTTCTACCAAGCCCTTTCTCACTTGGATTTTACTATTAAATATTTTAGCACATTCTGCAACCAGAAAAAAATAAAACAAACAAATAAAATGTTCCGACAGGAAAATAGGAATTCACGATCAAGCCTTACCTTGCATAGAATTGTTTCACAGCTTTCAGGATGCCTGCAGAGTCAAAATGTCCTGCCCTGGCCATAGCTTCCCCTTCCTTGACCAGCTCCTGGATCTTCTCAGCGTGAATCTTCATAGCTCCTTCTAAATTCTACAAAAAACAACACAAATAGACCATTTGTGCTGACCATTTATACTGACTATTTGTGCTGACCATTTGCACAGACCATTTATACTGACTATTTGTGCTGACCATTTGCACAGACCATTTATACTGACTATTTGTGCTGACCATTTTCACTTGCTATTTGTGCTGACTATATCTATCTATCTATCTATCTATCTATCTATCTATATACATATATAGCTATTTGTATTGACCATCTGTAATGATCATTTGTACTGACCTGATGATTCTTGACCAGTACTTTCACACTCCTCCTGTCATGTCCTATATCCTCTGAAGACACAGCTTTATCAATCTCGTCCAAGCTCTCTTTGGCTTCTGCCAGGGCTTTGTTCAGTCTATGCTGCTGTGTTGCCTGGCGAAGTTTGGTTCCCTTATCAGTGGACTTGTCGTATAGGTCAGCCCAGCGCTGGTTGAGGTCGGTCAGGGCACCCTTCACCTGTTTTGAGGCATAGTGCTTCTCTTCCAGCAGAGCTGTTCCAGACTAGTAAAATACACAGCAGGTACCACGGTATTATTTTTTAAGGCAAACTGTGTTGTAGGCAGGGAGAAGCTANGGCAAACTGTGTTGAGGGGGGGGGGGGGGGGGAGGGGGGATGCATTATCAAACATAAGTAATAACTCTTAAAATGTATGAGGGTGATAATAGATTGACACAATGACTGTTATTTGCATTTTCAAAACTAAAAAAATAATGGAATCCTTTTGGACAGGTAAAGGTCCAATCAGAATCAAAACTGATGCAAAATATGCCACAAACATGAGGTTTTGCAGAAAAAAAGGTTTGCTTTTTTTACAAAAAGAACCCCTGTTTGCTTTAGACCTGCTGTTTGACCATTCTTTGTATATAAATATGTAATTCATCATATCACACAGCCATCTACCTGGTTAATCATCTGTAACCTGTCATGGTTGGCTTTCAGTTCTGCCTCAAATGCTTGGTGTTTCTGGAACTTTTCTGGCAGGTTAGTGAGATCTTTGTAGGAGTCGTCTGTGGCCAGCTGGTACTTTTCATGCATCCAACTAGACAGCTAGGATGGAATACATTTTATTGTATATGATTCAAATACATCACATTTTCAAATTTCTGTCTGTAGCTAGAGTAGTTAGGTAGTTAGTAGTTAAGAATTGTTATAACTGAATCCCCAGCTATGAACTTGGTACCATAAACATTAATAATTTATAAGCATGGAAGAACCACAGTAATGAGACTTAACACATATTCAGTCCCTTATAAGTTATTGATCACTTTATGCTATTTAACCAAATATATTTTCAGGAGCATGTGGCACATTTCAAAATTATATAGACTTATATTCATAAATATTTCAAAGTGTATTCACAGAACCTCATTCATATAAAGCCTGGGTTTCAAAGGTAAATTAAATAAGGAGACTAAATATAAATATTTTAGAGACTAAATATGGACATTTTTATTTACAAAGAACAATGATATACCTCATCTGCATCCCTGTTAAACTCTTGGTAGGCCATCGAGGCCAAAAGTTTATCATGTCTTTCCTGACATTTCCTCTTAACACTCTCTCTTCTTGTTAGCACGGACTGCTTCCTCTCAGCAATACTGTGATGGAAAAAGTGTATCACTCATCAAGAGTTCAGTGCTTTATAGCATTTGATTTGGTGTACTGTTATTATTATTATTATTATTATTATTATTATTATTATTATTATTATTAATACAATGATAGTAAAAGAACTGGATATTCTGATTTTCTATCACTTGTAAAAGTTACATCTTAATAGACTTTGTATTATAAAAATATGTATAAAACCTCTTACTTTTGGCTATCGTAATGCCCCACTGCCAGCAGTTTATCTGCCATGTTACTGAAACTCTTCATTCTGTCCTCTTGGGCCAGGAGAGTGCTCTCAAAGTCTTCCTGCCTCTTAAATAATGCCTCGACAGCATCTACAGTAGTCTTGAGTAAAAAATAATAATATCAATAAAATTTGTTTCTAAATAGACAGTTTTACTCATTCAAAAAATTCACTGAATGTTAGTAAAATACTAATAAGAAAAGTTTATATGTATGAAATATGCCATTTAATAACGAGTACACTACCTGAAATCTTTTATGCTCTAAAGCATTAAGACATGACAAAGCAAATCTTTAAAAAAAAATCTTTGAGGATTTTCATTTGGGAGACAATTTCTTACCCCCAGTTCATCAAACTCCAGGAATGCATCATGGCTGATGGTGACAGAGTCTATCTGGTCAGCTTCACGGAAAAATACCTTAAAAATAAGAAAACAATTATCATTCTTAATACTACTAGAAAATTTAATTTAGAATAGATATATAGTATGTCTTTTTTTTGTTTGTTTGAAAACTCTTGCGTGGAGCTTTTCTGTTGATTTCCATGATCTCAGGTGAAAATGAAGAGTAAATTATTGTCTATAATCATTACTCCAGTTTGGCTACAATGAACTCTCTCTCTCTCCATAAAATCCTCTAGAATCAAAACCACAGAGCAGACTTCACAAACATTAAAATAAAATAAAATAAAATAAAATAAAATAAAATAAAATAAAATAAAATTTAGCATAACAGGCATTTGAAGCTTAAACAGAATATTTTTTTTCAGAAACTTACCTGTACATCATGGCAGTCTTGTAACAGTTTATTTCTAGCTGCCCAGCCCTGGGTTATAGCTTCTCTGTCCACCTGCAGTTGCTTCAGCTGCTGGGTTATTTCCTTGCTTTCTGCTGGTTTCCTCTTCAGAATTCTTTTACCCATGAGTTTGACTTGCTCAAATCTATAAAAGACATGCTGTTCAAAAACCAACTTAACATCCCACATATACAACATTGATAAGTTAACTGTATTTTTGCAAAAATAGCCAGTGAACACAAATGTTATTATGACTGGTTCATATCATGGTGGGTTCTCATTCTTTGTTTCCATAAAATAATTACTGGAAGTCTCCCCTGTCCATTATAAACACTTCAATGAAGTACTTCTAAAAAATCCATGCAACCACATACATATTACACAACATTCGATCACTGCCTCATTTCAATCAATCATTTCCTATTTACTCATTGTCCTAATTTGGAAGAACTTCTATATAATATTCTGACAAGTTTTATCCACAAACCTTTCTTGGTTATTTGTTATTTCATCTCGGAGTTCCAGATGTTGTTTGAGGAGTTTCTCTGCGCCAGGGACATCCTTTGCTAACTCAGTGTCAGCTACTTTCACTTTCACTTCACTGACCCAGGCTTGCTGTAAAGGTTATGTACACTGTATGAGCACAAACTATGACAAAGCCAATTATAGCAAAACCAACTTTGACACTCAAATGTAACATAACAGAGATGAAATATAATTACATAGTTTCACATCATCTAGAGAGATGGATTGGAGTATTGCAATATTGCTAGCAAGTGACACAAATATTAAAATAGGTGAACTAATAACACCATAAATGTACTTTTAGTAACCTATAATACAGTAAAACCTCATTTTTATTCAATTTAACATGATACAACAACTCACATAATCCAACTTATTGGGCTGAACTGCAACGTTTCTGAGTTGTGATGGAACTAACAACAAAGTCAGTAAGAAAATTTGCTACAATAACTTGGCTTCAAGCTTCATAGTGTATGTATACATTAAAAGTATCCTTTCCAGGGTTCTCTCACCAAATAGAATTTTCCTTGAAAAAAATCTTACTTGTAGTTCATTGCTTGACTTGTTCTGGCATTTGGATTCATTATTTTGTATCATTTTTAATAAAAAAAATCGCCTTCCTGTACTTTTCAGAAAATTGAACTGTACTTATCGTTTTTCTCTGAATCACAGAAAATACCACTTCCAGACATTTTTAAATGCAAACAATATAAGTTTTAATAAAAAAAAAAAAACATTAGGCATGGGTGACATCTGTGTTATCCTTTAACAAATCTCTTTAATCTGTAAATATCATGTTTAATTATTCAAAGTCATATCTGAAGGGATTTCATTTAGTCACAAAACTTATTTCTCACAAAATGATGAAAGAAAGGCAAATGATCAAGTAATCTTTATAATGATAGCACGGCTTGTGTTGTTTCCTTATGTTGCAGTATATTTCTCAAACCTCTGCCAGCAGCAGCTTGCTTTAATGATAAGCTTTCATAATGATTTACATCAGCTTGCTTTAATGATAAGTAAACTGCCAAGACTGAAATAGATTAATCAAGACGGAAATTGTCAAAATCAATAAACCTGTATCTAATCACATCTTTGTAACATTGCCATGACAATGAGATCCTTGAACCCTGACAATTTCCCAGAATCTATACCACACTGTGAATTGAATCTCTCTGTCTTAAGCAGATTTCTCCCACATAAGAAATGAAACCTTTTAAATTACAGTAGCCAGCTATTAGTATAACAATGTATCTTCAGTCTTATACTTTGCTTCTGTTTGTCATCAAAATTGTCCTTAATAGGTTCCAAACTATCTGTCAAATTAACTTACTTCCCATTTTTTCATATATTAATGTACTGACTTCCAATTTTTATGTATAAAAGTAGGGATATGAACACAAGAATACCAAAGCCCTTTTGTGATTAATTGATTTTGCTGGGCCAATGAACTTTACATAAATACCGTAACCTAAATTACACGCAGAAAAGTTAATCAGATGAATAATTAATAGAAAAACCAACACAAAAGTAGTATAATACAGTTTCCTGAGAGGGTTTGGTAGGGAGTGGTAGATGTAAAATGAAAATTCTTATTTCTTTAAAAAGATGGGAAACTACAAACAACCTGGAGAAGTTTATTTTTGCTGCTTAAAAAGGTATGTAAGAAAGAAATGCATCTATTTTCCTGCTTTTGCATTTTTAGGATGCCCAACATATAAGTAACTAAAAGCTCACCAAAATGTAGTTTAAAAAGAATAAAATTATTTATAAAAATTATAATTTCTTGCACTTGCACTTGTTTACCAAGATCAAATAATTTTTTTTAGGTGTTATGCAAACTTGATAAAAAATGCTGGTGTACGTAGTTTCATCCGAGGCATTCTTTCTTTTTAGTCCAAATTTCATAAAAATTTGCTAAATTTCAGTAAAAAACTTACCAAATCTCTCAGTTCATTGTAGAACTTCTGCAATTCTTCAGAATCTTGAAGTTTTTGTTTTCTTTCCTCTGCCTTGTCCTAAAGAGAAAAAGAAATGTAACATAAACTAAGCTAGCTATATTTGTGATAAAAAACACTTTTTAATAGCTTTTTTAGTTACTGACAGGGTCAATATCTCTAAGCAAAATCTACCATCTTTTCTTTTTCTTTTGATCTTTTTAGTTTTAAGTTAACAGAATTGAGATAAATTAGCTATATTTAAAGTTTCTAACCAGCAAAGCATTCCAGAGGCTGACCAGCTCCTGCTGCTTGCCTCCCACATTTTCCATTTCTCCAGGGTAGGATGTCTTTACACTTAATAATAAATAAATATCATTTATAAAAACTATAAACAGAAACTGCTTTGACAGTAATAATTTTTTTTCATATTTGAAACACTGTAAGATTCTATTAGCTTAGAAGTGGATTTCAGTTTCAAGCTCCTTCTTTAATAAAATAGTTCACTTACTTCAAAACAAATCAGATAAAAAAACTACAGTATTTAAATCATTTACTTATAAATTAAGTTACACTATATACCCTTAATGTATTACTCTAGGTCAACTTCGCACTTACGCTGTGGCTAATACGCCTACTTTGGTGAGACGTCCCTCTAGAGGTCCTAACTCAAGTTCCAAGTTCTGAAATGAAAGCCATTTTAATATATAACAAAGTTTAAAAAGTAATCTAGGGAATGACCATCACACAGCAGCCAGAATTTTTATCCTACTACTACATCTCCCAGATATATTCCTTTGAAATAAGCAATGCAAAATCAATCTATAAATCTATCTGACCCAAAATTAAAAACAAAACACAGACACAGAAAGATATTTTCATGATGATTTTACCTGACTTCTATTAATCAGAATATCTTCAATAATTTACCAATGTACCTGTTTGATTACACATATTCCCCAGAAAGTTTTTGTACTGATTACACTTACAATAGACAGAGTATTGATGAATAACCAGTTAATGTATCTCAATATCCACTTTAAATGTTAATTTTAAATAATTCAGTTCTAACTTCTTTTATTATTTAATGCGTGTAAAGAGAGCACCCGCCCCCCCCCCCAAAAAAAAAAAAATAAATAAACCAGTGCCATTAAAACATGCATCAATACAATTGTCTTTCATATATATACATAACAGAATGGGACTTGATTTAACTGGTAATTAATAAAATGACCTGATGTTTTCTCTGTAAAGCCTGAACAGATGCCAAATCTCTTCCCACATCTTCTGTCAAAAGAGCACTGAATTTCTCCATTATCCAGTCCTTCGTCTCATCACATGCAGAACGGTAGAGCTCCACACTTTAAAGATAAATTACAAAAAGAAAAAACAAATATTTATAAATCATAGCAAATACACACTTACAAAATGAAGATAAACTTGGTGCTTGAATTTCATCTAAGCAAGAAAATATGCATTTCTGGGATGAAGACAGGACATATCAAATACTTTTAAAAATTCCTCATACTTTAGTCAATTGATAGTCAAATTCTGTAGGTGCCCTTTAAAATTTTAACAGATAAGTACTTATAGTCTTCACCAATTGTGTGCCACAAGTAAGGCTCTTAATAGAATCATGAAAATTTGCTATAAGCAACATGTTTTATTATCCAGTGCATGATCCTTATAATGAAACTGTAGACTTCAAATTACATCCAACTTCCTTGTTGGCAGGAATGTCAAAGAATATCAAGGATATTCTTTAACAGTACATCAAATTACAACAATCCAAGGATTTGAACAACAAAAGCACATCACTGCACATTTTCATATCTACAAAAACATCTTCTATAACACACCATTATCTAGAAAACTTATCAAAAGAAAAACATCATTAATGTTACCATAATAATAATGATAATAACCATAGGTTTAAAAATTCTTCTTAGGGCCAATTCTTTAATGAAATAAATAAGCATACTAGTGACAGTTACACTTCCCAGTTTATCATATTTAATTATCATATTTATCAACTTCACTAAAATACACTCGTGTGATTTGGATAAAAAGGTCAAGTGTTTTGGATTAAAAGTTAAAAGTCCGTGCCTTTAAATCAATGCAAAGCATAATATTCCATGCAGATTCCTTTAATGTATTCCTAAATTGATAACATTTTCTTTAACATAATCATAATCTTATAATCTAATTCCACTGATTAAGACACTGATTTCGAACACAGCATTCAATATCTATATTCTAAATACACATCCCTATACTTCTAGAAAAATAAAATGCCACAGTCCAATGTTTGCCAATTAAGGCCTAAAATTCTATCAAGTACACACATGCTCATGTAATTCACTCAGAGATGAAATCAAAACAAGGCAGCAAAGCTGTCAAATGTACAGACAAAAAACAGGAAATAACTATGCACAAAATAGGCTACTGTCAATTCTGATGCAAAAATACATTATGTTAAACTGCAAATTCAACATCAAATTTTAATTATCATCAACAGGTAATACCAATGTAATTAAAATATGTGACAAGTTTACACTTTGAAAATGTATAACTTCCAGAAAAAGAAGTTCCTTAGACTGCTTTTCCAACTCAGACTGCATTTTAGTCCTGTATTTCTTTTTTGAAAGTTTGGCAATCATAAGTAACATGGTTTTCCCATAATGGTCATCATGGCAGCAGCACCCAAAATTGTGTTTTCTTCTATTCTGATGCAATATTACATAATGGTTAACAGCATAATAACTCAATTTTAATAATAAAATATACGTATCATGGATTTTCAGAAAATGTGACTAGCATGGGTCTTCAAGCCCGTGGAACTTCAAAGTCACACC